CAGAGAACACGGAATATTTCATTTCACATGTTGCCATTTGGCGACATGAAAAAAAGAAGTATGAGAGTTCTATACATCGTACAACGCCAATGCTCACTAGTCGGCATATTGAGTTACGAAGAGCTTGGGCACGGGCACACTTACGGGACAATTGGGCCCGAATTATATTCACTGACAAGACAGCATTTGATCTTTTTCGGAATAAAGCCAGTCGGTGGCATAAGGGTGACGAAAAACCGATTCGACGATTACCAAAATTACACCAAAAAGTAATAGCATGGGGGGGGATATTTCACGAAAAGAAAAAACACCTTTTTATGCAAGTATATTCCAGACATATTTGCTGCCTGTTGCTCAGCAAAGAACTGGCGTCTGCAACAAGACAATGATCCAGAGCACACGTCACGTGTTGCTAAGGATTTTATTGTAGAAAATGAAATTCGGGACTATTGACTGGCCATCTAATAGTTCGGACCTAAACCCTATCGAAAACATGTGGTATATAGTCAAGAATAATGTTGAAAAGCGGATGCCAAGGAATTAAGACTAAAGAATGGGATGCGATTCCAGAAACAACTGTACAAAATTTAATTTCATCGATGAAAAGAAGGTGTGAGCTTGTTTTGGAGAAAAACGGGGATAGAATTTCGTATTAAAAATTACATACATATAATAAAGCACACGATAAGCTTTCTAAAAAAATGCATTGCCATTGAGTTATGATATTTTCGGGAAACCGGTTTTTTTCGTTACACCGTAATTAAGCGACCAAAAATGTCAAGTAAAATAATACGTGAGGTGTCTGAAAAGTTTTGACAATATATTTATTTTTTGAAGGTGCACACTCCCATGACCAAAATCACGAGACTCTAAAATTCAATAGTAAATTATATAAAAAACCTTTCTTTTCGAAGTATCTCTTGTCTGCAAGCACTATGTAAGTAACAATGATTTCTATATGGTTTTGAACCTAACTGACTGTGCTTTTTGAAACCCCCAGTAAATGTCAGCACATTATTATTAATATTATTAATCTCACATGTGGGTTACAACATAAAAGTATATTTTTATATGCATAGCATTTAGCTATCACTTCATTACCACTTTATCAAGCTACAGCTTTATAATAATAATGTGTTGAAATTTTTTTCAAAAAGTACAGCCAATTAGTTTTAAACCCATATAAAATCATTGTCGCTTACATAGTGCTTGCAGACGAGAGATACTTTGAAAAGAAAGGTTTTTTTATATAATTTACTATTAAATTTTAGTGACTTTTGTCATGGGAGTGTACATAATAGTTTTAAAATAAATTGTTGCATCCCTTCAAATTGCTCTCAGCCTATTTATATACAATGTTCAGCCTTTTTCACTGATTCTGAAATGCTTTACAGTAACCCTCTTTTGGTATGTTATGAGACACTGCCTGGATAGCTTGTGAAAGACTTTAACCTTCTAAAACTTCTTTTTGCCCTTTATTGTAAAAAATAGAAAAAAATTACAAGGAATTAGATCTGGATTGTAATAAATATGTGGCATTAATTAGACTCTTTCTCTCCTTAAGCAACTTCTGCTTTATGAGGTGGTGCATTGTCATGACGTATGAAATCCATCTTGAACACACTTTATTGAGATCGAGTTGACTATGTAATATGTACTCAACTCTTTCTTCAGAAATCCCAATTTACTCCTCTATCATTCTTACAGTTATGGGGGATTATCATTTATCAGTTTCTCCACCTTTGCAATTTTTTCGCAGGCAACAGTTTCGCGAAAATGTCGCGAGCAGGGAGTCATATTCAATGTATCTTCAAGTGCTTCAATCCACCAGTAAATAGTGCGTTCAGACAGTGCATTGGGTCTTTCAACAACTCTCAACTCTTGGTAAATTTATTTTGTAGTTTGACCGTTTTTCTAGCCAAACAAAATGCTGGCGTTTTCACGTAGTATTCTCCAATAGTTTTAGGGTAAGGATTTTTAAAGCAAATTTCTCAACAATGGTCAAATCAAATTGTGTCATCAACTGAAACCTGAACTTTAATTACATTAGCTTATTTGAGTAGTTGCACAAATATATATTGTCAAAACTTTTCAGACACCCTACGTCTATTACTTCAGTCGCGAGACATTTGTTTACCTCATCAGGTATCAAACACGCATAAGAAATATGAAAGCGTATAGTATCCAGCTGTTACTATATTACCAATGGCTGTCACTTAACAAAGGAAACGATCCAATTTTGCAGGCCAAGATATGATGATCCGGGATATAAACATGCAATTGTCTGATAAAAGACAATGTCAACGGGAATGACTAGAACTAATACTGATCAAGACAGAATTATAATGCTATCCAAAGTGCAGTAAATCTAGTACGTACAACAACTATTAACATGTAAGATGATCAATATGGAGTCAGAAGGCGAAGTGCGCCTATTAAAAGAAATAATTGCTCTGAAAGTATTACGTTGTCCATAGATATAACAAAAAGATGAGCTGTAGTCAATATTCAACGTATTCGTATGGCACGGCTTACTCGTTTGCTATAAATGTTAATCGTGACATCCTTCCGGACAATATTAATATTAATTGCTATGACAATGTCTAAATTGAACCCTTACCCGTTCTATTCCTACTCTCACTCGTTGAGCTTATGCAGATAAATCACGATTATTGGAAACCCTATTCATAATCACTGATGGCCAAATTATAAAAAGTCTTTATTAATTAAGCATAAATAATCGATGTACCAATATCATATTCATTAATATTACGTTGGCCATTCCTCGCCCAAATGCAAGCTTGCATCCTTTTCGATATATTTTTATAAAATGAAGATATGCATATTTTGGGAGTTACGCTTTTCCTCCTTTCAGAGATGAATACGTCCTTCTAAATCATCCCCAATGGGGTTAATACGATGGCCAATTGCCAAGCATTTTGATATATCCAAGCAGTAAATCTTTGACTCTACGGATGGGAGCGTTATATTTAGTTCCATTATCATCAACAGATCTAGACCTTTTCCTGCAAACATCTTCATACTTATTAATCGTGAGAAAAAAGTTTGCGTGTACCAGACATTCTTCAAATTCCTTGCGGACCGTTATTTCTAAGAGTTGTTAATATTCGGGAAGTTTTACCCAATAATTTCAGTGCGTTCAAATTCTGGGTAACTTTATTGTGTCGGTTAATAATAGCGGGAGAAATGAAGAAAAGCTTTTTTGTTTACGTTAGACGATTCTAGACTCGTAAACAAAGATCTACATACTACATCACCACTGTATTTATTATTTATTCGATTCTATAGGTATTATACCCCGTAAGGTATTCCGTTGCGTATAACTATAATAGCATATAGATTTAAATTCTGGCGTTCTCTATGGTTGTCGAATAGAGTTTGTTTTTCATTTAAGCTATTCAGGAATTCTTATATTATTCCTTAGCTTACAAGTTTGCAAGTACTCGGTCGTACGAATGGATCCCATCAATATTACGATTGTACCTAACAACACTAACAGCACCAATCGTACGACAGAAAGGGCACACCTTTTTCCTATACGCTAACAATGAACATATACACCTGTGCGGACATTAGAAAGACCGGAGCTTATATAAAGGATACTCCCACTACATCTATAGATTTTTGTTTACTTTGGCTACTTACACCATCGTTTCAAGCGTTTGTTTTACACCATGTAGCAGTAAGCAGTTAATCTCCCCACAGGGGCTTGCTACCCAGTTTGGTTTATGGTAAAGCTGGTTTCGTAACTGGTACACTTGTGGCTTGTTTTTTGGTAAAAAGTTTTTTATGCAAGCAGTAGCATCTCCCATGTACTCATGCCACAGGAAACAATATATATTATCGGAGGATTATGTTGGCAGAATGGGTTCCCAACCAATCAAAGTATTACAAGATGCAACATTGTCAAGAGGCAGTTTTGTACGGTTTATTTCCAACAACCTGAAAGATTATCAAACCAACTCGGGACCATCAGAGCAACAAACATATTAGTAAGACAACTATGAAATCGCATATTTCAATTGGTTGGATGTTACCTCACTTTGGTCACACGTTCTACATAGAACGACAGTATCCTTCCATGCATATGAATATTTTCATCTTTGTACAGTCAACTCGGACGGGTTGGCATAGCTCTCTGTGTCTGTCCGGAACCGGTATATGAAAAGTTATATAAGACTCCTATAAACAATGAATTTTCATATGAAACGAACGGTGCGCAAGAATCATTTCCAGTATAAACATTTCCGGTATAAACAGAGTTTGTATAACATTTGAATGTGGGGAACGCAAAAAAAAGTGGAGATGATGAGATCTTTCGTATTAGCCACATACTAACACAGATAGATGATCTTATCTAATAAACATCTAATATTGTGGGAATATAAACACCTGTTTCTTCCCATACCGACTGGTTGGAACGAGTATATGTGCGGTCTTTTTTGAGTGGGTGTGATCAAGTCACCTGGTAGCATGCGAGCGTGAGTATTGCAATCAGCTTCAGTCATTCACTATGATCATCACATGGAGCAATGTATATCATTCGGTGTACTTACTAATTTAACATACTTATCTATTAGTTTTGCCAATACATACAATAGCCGCTCGTGTAGATAAGCTCATGTATTTTCTTTTGTGAAGCATTCATATTCATTCATGAGTTTAGAGAGTCTTTTCATTCACCCCCGTGTGAAAATGCCCTCCCCTTTACAGCAAGTACGCTGGAACTTGATATTTCTCGCTAGCACATATACGCAATTTCACTCATAGTAAAGTCCTTGTTAAGTTAACGATCCGTTTACAATTGAGAGGCTTTTACTCCGGGTACCTGACTAAATGCACACGCCACACAGCAAACAATAATTATACACTATGAACTAATTTAGGTTTAATATGAAGTCACAAATCATCATTACCCCTCGAATATATAAATACAACAAACCGCCCCAATATTCAAAAACTGTATTCACGTTTCTACAATGGCAGAACAACACTCTCCTACTACACCGCTACTACACTCACGTTCGAATGATTCATTACATTCTACTACCAACACTGCGGAACGCCAAGAACTCGGACAAGACCATGAAACCTCTTCTCTGTTAGAGCATCAAGAACAACAACCGAGATATGTTCAGTATTTCTCAGACAATCCAAATCAACAGCAACAAGCATATTATGCCCATTCTTTTGCTTCCTCACCATCTAATATTTTTCAATCGGATCAAATTTACGATGAATCCACATCTCTACTCCGACCTGGCTCTCACACACCGTCTCCCACTCGATCGGTCGAAGCTCGCATTCACGATACCCAAGACGTATCCAATTCCCTTCCATTTCCCCCTGAAGTAACAAACCTCCGCCAAGACCACATTGTCCAAATCATTCATACGGATAACAACTCTAATCATGACACAAACTCATGTTACGACACTGATTCGGATGGAGGAACTATAATGGAGAAAAGGTCTAAAGATGTGTGTTTCCCGATGAGCATAGAGTCTAAAGATAAGAAGGGCATTGATTTTGCAGTTTTGGAGGACTATATCGAGGAACAAAACGAAAAGAGACTCAGAGAACTGAAAATACGGAAAAGAAGACGGTGCGAGTCTGTTGGACAATTAACTGACTTTCCCAGGAGTCTTCGTCATGTGCCGTATGTACACAACGTAAGTGAGCGAATGAGAGAGAGTGAGAGAGGAAGAGGGAATAGCCCATCTGATTATTTCTCTCCTTAATATTATATATATACATTTACAGAAACGTGCTTGGTCTTACAACATTAATCTTGTCAGAACTGCCAAACTGGTTCATAATCTTCGTTACCATATACTAATGTCTCTCCTCACCCTTTCCAATCTCAGCACTTTGATACAGCTCTTCGTTTCACTTTCTATTCCACAGCATTTAAAACTGTCCATGCGCACACTTTAGCCGAGATTCCACCGCCGGGCATGACACTGACGCAATTACTAATTGCTGGGTGCTGGTGGATCGATATAGTAGACCCAACTGATGATGATATGCAACTATTAGGGCGGGTGAGAAAAGCGTTTTTCTGTGTATTTAGAGAATGTAAAATATTAATGAAATGAAAACATGGCATATTATAGGCTGAAATAACGAAACATACCAATAACAATATTTTGTTCACTGTGTCATTAGGCGTTTGGCATTCATCCACTGACAATAGAAGATATTCAAACGGAGGAAACGAGAGAAAAGTGCGAGTTGTTCAAAAACTATTACTTCATCTGCTTTAGATATTTCGATGAAGACTACCGTTCGCCTACTTACCTTCACCCATTGAGTATGTTCATAGTTGTGATGAAAGACGGAATACTGTCGGTAAGTTACATAAACAGAGAGTCGTAGGTTGTTTGAAATGGGTGAGCTAATTTAGCCAATTGAATCTGGTCCGGCAATGATATAGTTCCATCGTCGACCATCATCTCATCCCACAAATGTACGTCGGCGTATCAGGCAATTGAAGGACTATATTACCGTCACTCCAGGTAACGTACACTGTATATACTGACTAAACTGATCCAGAGCACTAATTTCTTGACTATCCAAACGATTACCTCCTCCACATATGCAGACTGGATAAACTATGCCCTGATAGATGATATAACAGATTCGTTTGCACCAATCATCCGCTCCATTGAATTCGAGGTGGACTCTATTGATGAGCTTGTTTTGATTCTCAAAGAATCCGAACAATCTGATATGTTAAGGAGAATTGGACATTGTCGTAAAAAAGTAATGTGTTTGTTACGCCTGTTAGGGAACAAACCAGACGTAATGAAGGGTTTGGTTAAACGATGTAACGAGCTGAGATGGGATGTGGTTATTAGTAACGAGATTTTGTTGTATCTCGGAGATATCCAAGGTAATGTTGACTTCTAAAAGATATCATGAGTGGATATTGAGGAAAAGACATCATGTAATAGAATCTATTAAGTATACGAATTTGATTATACATACTTTTGCATTTGGACATGATCCGAGGCGAGGCATTTATTTGATAACATTTCTATTTTGTAGACCATGTTATAACAATGGTACAAAACCTCAATCATTACGAGAAGATTCTTTCTCGTTCACATTCCAATTACCTTGCACAAATCTCTATTGAAATGACACAAGCAAATAATCAGATTAATGACGTGCTATCTAAATTAACGGCACTCGGAACTATTCTCGTTCCAATGAATTTAGTAACCGGTAAGTAAATACTGACTGAAGGTGGTATTGATAATCGCCATGTGATTATTATTATATTCTAGCTTCAACATTCTACTTACTAACCGTCACATTTGCTTTAATTAGGTTTATGGGGAATGAATGTTCCAGTACCGGGGCAAGAGTCGGCAGGATTAACATGGTTCTTTTCAATATTAAGTGGCATTGTCATATTTTGTCTCTTGGGCGTAATAGCTGCACATCGAATTAACATCGTATAGGATGACAGCACAGCGGTAGTGAAAGAGGGTCGGAAGACCCGAAATAGAAAGAACAAGACAATATCTATAATTGTGTAACCGAGCCCTTATAATCACATTCCACCTTAGAGATGTTGTTAATTATAATAGAATTGTAATGTAGCCATTAAAAGTATACTTATTTACTATTGAGATGTTGAACTGATGTTCAAACGGTCGGGGGGCTTGTCACTGTGCCCCGCTGACAATAATGGTTCGTCGTTCACTAACCATTGTTGGGTTAGGTTGTGGCTTCGTTCCGGGGTCCAATATATAAATAATTAACTCCAAATGTACCCGCATTGATGGGCGTGGATATTTCAGTCGCTACTGAAAGAGTTTTTTAATGTTACTTGTCTAAAGCCGACACAAAAAAGTCGTCCTTGTCGTCGTCGTCGTCGCTTATGCTCGTCGTGCTCAAAAAGGCCAATCCATTTGTACAATAATGGCGTTATCAAAGATAGAAGCTCAGAGATCCCCAATGAGAAAACCGTCCTTTATTACCAAATGCTGGTGGATGTTTTTCTTTTTGCTTAATATTTACTTGTTGTTTGCCAGTATTACCCTCATATTATTCTTTTATAAGCAGGCAAGTACTCTTGATTGCATTGAGATTTATATTTGTGATTTTGTGATGTTGACGCCGCATGTTTATTGCCCCCTTTGACAGTGGAAAGTGTATAATAGGATACCAATATATCTGTACATATTATTTGTTCTATTCGAGTTTTGTCCACGAATATTTATTGCTGTAAAGATATATGACTATGTACGAGAACCGTTACATCCAGCAGTAGTAGTTGCCATCATTGTAGGTAAGCAGAGATATGAAGCCAATATATATGTGTGTGAGTGTGTGAGTGAGTGTGTGTGTGTGTGTAGCGTTATTGTCGCCTACTAACTACTATTATTTACTGCAGGTAAGCTAGAAGCATACCTCCTCTGGGGTGACCATCTTCTCTCTCGCCAGCAGATAAACAATCTAGACAACTTTGGTACCGTATCAACACTAGTATATTTCCTCTTTCTGCTATGTGCGATTTTTACAAACCTCGCCATGCTTCAGCAAGACGACAGTTTCAGTCAAAACGTTCATCATAAACTGACTTTGCTGCAGACGAGTCTAGCATGTACCGCTGTTTTATGTATTGCGAGAGCCGTATGGAGATGGATAAAATGGGTGCACATCACTTTCTGTAGGTGCTGTTTCTTCTGCTGGTGTTGTTATGACGAAGTCATGGAGGATTTGGAAGGACATGAGAAATCTGATTATACAAAGGTAGAGAATCAGTCTCCCGCCTAAAGTCGAGATTCCAGAGATTGAATATTTGTTGTGTCTCACGACTGGTTTCTTAATAATTGAGAAGACTTGACTTTGTCATGTAAATTGTGTGAAAATATACACATAGCACATAGCACATAGCACATAGCACATAGCACATAGCACATAGCACATGGTATAGCAATTAGCATTGTATTTGTTGGTTTTCAGATGCCTCGTGTTATTAGCAGCACAACTATTGTAAATTTTGAAGTCTTCTTTGCTCACTGGAAACATTTGTTTAGGGAGGGTATTTCTTATTTACGAAATAAAAGTGCATTTAGAAATGTAAACGGTAGACTTTTACAGTAATCAACTCTATTACATAATACGTCAACCTAATCAAACATGTATGTTCGCCCGTTTATAACGAGTGGAACATTGATTAACATGCGCAGAAATAGCATATTGTTTTAGAACCGAGGAGTGATTCCTAATTAAGGAAATAAAACGTCATTATTCAACGTTCCGTAGTCTGCTATGTGATTGTTCGGTACATAATCGTTCCCCCCCTTGCCGTCATAGAATCTAGAGCATCGCGTTATTGTGCTATCGTTGGTATTGTTATAGTGTCAATTCACTCGGTGTTGCCTGTCAAAGACAATTAGAAAAAGCGACTTTTTTGGATTATAAAAAATATTTTTTGCATCAAATTAATAAACCACAGATGTACAGCATTTGTTAAATAGATAGCTTGCATTCTCAGACCACAGCTTGCCCTTTTGGGGATTATAATCGGCTTCATCTCTATTAATACATTTTGGCTCTAGAATGTATTCCACTCATACATTCCGTATTCATCTCAATAGCATTGTGTCTTGTTATAGTCAATTCTCCAATAGTTGATTAATTATTCAATCGTTTCGTCCACTAAACATAGATTCAAAGAACTGTCAGCTGCGGCTGTACGACGTCTCCGCATAGAGTTATTTTTGGTGTAGCGTCATATGACAGCGTATATCTCAAATCTTGTTGCACAACAAAAGATACAATATAGCGAGTTCCCTGTCCAGGCGCAGTAGATACGGGTGTCTTTCCAACACAAAAGTAGAAAGTCATGTTCCCAAGACATTTATTTGACATATTTAAATGCAATACTCTAAAGTATGTTCATAGTATGTAATGGAAAAGACTAGACGCGTAAGTTGGTCAACATCGAATCTACCTTTGTTACCGATGGCCCGAATACTCGTTTTGACTTTAGATGCATAGTGTCGTTAGTGTCTAAAAGGTTTAGCCGTTTATCCAATTCCAGATACAAAGACTAGGGGATATCCACTTGTATCCACTGTTAGAAAGTCTCGCTAACCATGTGATGTCGAACAATAAGACATCGGCTATGACATTCCATCGGCTTTGGCTTTGTTGCCAAACAACGGTCTGTTGTTGCCCAAAACAATTCTCCCTGTGTCGTATTGTTGGTACAAACTGCCGAACACTACATTTCAAATTTGGGTGCACATTCGGTTTACTGGGTCTGTTTGAAATTGCATGGTCTAAATACAAAGAATGGAAAACCCAAGCCAAGCGCAGATACAAACAAATACAATGCTATTTAGTATTATACTCTATACTAAGTAAGAATAATAGTATTCAAAAGTTCTCGTCCCCCCTTTCAATATTGTTGCGTGTTATAACACTGCTTTCTCTTATAAATATGACTGGAAGGTTGGTAAAGGCAAGTCGTAAACACACCCATATATCTTTGTTCTCTTTACAAGATCCGCATTTTTATCAATTATAATCTAATCTTCAACAAATCACATCCTTGACATTACTTACAAGATGTGCTCGCCCATGTACTCGTATGTCACGGAATATGACGGTTACTACTATACCGACCCAGTTTCCTCTACCGCTTCCACATCCACAAATGTCAAACCCAATCCCATAGCTGCTCTTACGGCTATCGAAAGAAACCTTCTTGAAAACCCCCCTTATCATCTTTCTCTTTCTCATGAGCAACTACTGGGTTTTAAAAACAAGTCTCGCTTATCAAAGCCACCACCACGGCCCCAAAACGCATGGGTCCTATACCGCAAGAACTTTGAAGAATTCCTGCGTTTACAGGATCCTGACGTCGTATATCGTTTAGAGGACGTCTCTAAAGAAGCTGGCTCTCAATGGAGACAAGAGCCGACTAAAGTCAAAGAGTATTTTCACGCCCTCTCAAAAAAAGCCCAAGAAAAACATAGATTGGTCTATCCGGATTATGTGTACAATCCAAAACGAAGGAAAACAAAAAGTAAAGCGTACATGTTCAAGATAACTAAGAAGGAAGATTACGTGAAGCGTAAAAAAACGAGAACAGCTGCGGGCAAGAAAACGAATAGCAAAAGTGCTAGGTGGACGCAAGCCTCGGGGCTGAACGAGAATACTGTTGGCGCTGTACATGTTGAGAATAACCAACTTGACGTTATGCCTGTTGAAAATAACCAACCCGACGTTGTATCTGCTGAGAATAACCACCAACTCGACAATAATATCATTGATAACGGTTATGTAAACATAAACGATTCATCGTTTTTTTCTTATTCGCTTGGTCCGGGATACTTTCCCTATTACATCATCATACCCCTCAATGACGTTGCTCTGATTGATACGAACGAACAATCGGTCACAGATTGGAGTGATGATAATAGCAGCATTAACAATTATTAATATTACGCATTACGTACAGTTTAGCGGATTATATGCTTTTCCTTATTAAGCTTAGCAAGATATGGTATTAAATATGCGGGGCCTCTGAGATTATGGTCATAAGCATTAATTTAAATTTATATGTAGAAATATATCGTATTAGTATGTGGAAATACAGTATATTGTATGTGCTAATCAAATACAATTCATACATCCAAATATATCAACAACGTCAACAACGTCAGCCTGTCATACACTTGTCGTTACAAATTTGGCAATGCAATTTCCCAGTGTGTTCCCTCATCAAAAGAAGTTCCCCGCCCCCTCGCTCACGTAAGAACACTAGCACAATACAAAATGTCGACGAAGACAATCTAGCCCTTTCAATTTTGACGTGTCATATGCTTATTGTTCCTAATTCGATACAATATGTTGTCATATGTTCAAATATCTCTCGCCTTGTATATATGCACGCAAAAAAGTTTGACATGCGACTGTGATACTGTTCTCAAACGATTGACACAAGATTGTACTACGATCTAAATGCTGCATATCGGCTCGAAGAAATAAAGGGGAGTGTACAATTAGAAAGAATATGCACGTGTATAACACATCTTTCAACTCACGATCACTTGACCATTGATATATTAATGATAGTGCCAACCGCAGTAGATAATGCACCTAAATAAGGCCACCCGATTTACCATTTACTATACTTGTCCGATAAAGCTCTACCCAACAGAAGAGAACAGTGGAAGCTTAAACGCAGTGGGTAATACTGATTTATTGTAACGTATCACTTATGTTGGTCTTTACTGACTGCCTCAGAACACAGAATCGAAAGCAGTGTAACTTGATAACTTTTTCTCATACACGTTATTCCCGACATTAATAAATTCGGCGCACTAAAGGAAGATACATATGTGCTGTCTTGAGCGAAAACAAAAAATAATTACAAACACGGCATGCAGACAAATGATAAAGCGGCAATATGTTATTTGGTCTAAAGCAAAGCCGTCCACTATTTACGAGATTGTTAAGGGAGAGAGCGAGCTTTATCGCGATATGGTATTGTAAGGATATACTGATGTATGTGCCACCCAGTAATGTTTAAAAAAAGACTATTAATAATGACTAATTTGGTAATGGCCTTTTTGTTTTGTTTAATGGGTGTAGCTCGGAATACTGTGGGTTAGCCGATATGCCCAAAAAGGTTAATGCAAGGCAAATCTTGTATCCAATAATTCATACTTTTTAAAGTTGTTCTATCGCCACATTGATCTGATCGGACATGCGGAGTTTGGAGAATTCTATTACTGATAGTTTTTGTCCTGAATTGCACTAGGGTGGGGAAAGGGGGGTGGGGAAGAGGGTGGGAGAGGGGGCGATAAGCACTATGTTTACGCACCGCCACTGCTGCGGGATAAATAAACTATCGTGTTCACGAACAATACGATTATCTCAGATTGTGAACATGTTGCACAGTGGTCAGGATCTCAAGCTCCTTTTTTAAAATAAACAAATGAGTAAATTGGGAACCGTTATGGTAACAACCCTTTATTATGGGGGGCCCTATTTGACATATTATACAGAAAATTCATATGTTGTCTTACGAAAAGTACGACATCGAAAGCTATTGATATCTTACTAATTAAAACGTATGTGGTGCGTAACTCTATACAATCATAATAAAGATGTGTATTGACATTTTATACATTAGAGAAGAACATAGTCGAGTGAGTGAACATTCATCTATATAGTAAAGTAGGAAGCTGGGAAACATCAATATCATCGGTACGAATGTCGTCGGAGAAGTCGTAATCGTCCAGATTGATCATCTCACATGCATCGTCGTCGTCGTAGTCGTAGCAAGTCGCACTGCATTCTTCTTCATGTAGAGTGTCTTCGCTTACAAGTCCGTCATTTCCCGCTTCGATATTTCGTTCGTTTGCAATATCTTCACGCTTTTCGCATCTCACAAAATTGTCTTTATCCATCACTTTGAACAACCACTTGTTCTCTGCCTTGCGCTGTTTCTTTTGGGGTCTGTAGGCGTAATCGGGATAGACGCACTTGTGTTGTTGACGAACTAATTTAGCAAGTACGTTGAAATATTGTTTAACAATTTGTGATTGACGTCTCCAGTCCTTGCCAGCAATCTTGGAAACATCCTGGATACTGTACAACCCGTTGGGGTACCGGATACGCAAACGACTTTCAAAGTCTTGGCGAAAGATTAACCACGAATTTCGAGGACGTGGCGGTAGCGAATTATTTCTGATATAGTTTCTGCGTCTCTTGCGCATTGGATCTAAAAGAGACTCGAGAGAAATGGTGAGGTCGTAGGGTGGATTTCGCAAGAGATCGCATTCAAAGGGAGTAAGCGTTTTTGAAAAATTAAATAAAATGGCCGTCAAAGAGGGCGGAGAGGGAGACGAAGCGGCGGATGAGGTTGATGTCGATTCGTCTGGAACGGATTGAGAGCACATTGGGGATGAAATTTGTAGAAAACCCGATCCCTTGACATAAAATGTTGGATTGCGCTTTGCTTGTATTTATATTATCGAAAACGTTGTTATCACAGTGCTATATGGACGCGCACCATACAAAAAAGGTTTTATTGGCATTCTCGGGTTCAAAAACCCTTAAATTATTACACTGATTTTGTTTTCCACACCTATCAACAGCTGATCGGTAATGCAGTAGTAATAATCGGCTTTCCTCTAGTCAGGAATGTGACAAAAACAAATAGTCCAAGTCTTTAATCACTAGTACTTGCTGTACGCAGGTATTTGTAAACAATGCCATTTGAAAACCAATATGATACGCTATCCATCCTTGTTTATTTCTCTTGCTATATGCAGTTGAGACAATAAAATCAGTGGAACTGGACCTTATTTCCGTTGCGCGTATTTGGTAATATTAATGTCTAAAACTACGCACAGCCTATTACTATGGTGAACCAATCTTGTATTCGTATCATAAAAGTATACTATACCATACCACTTTTGAAAACAAGGGGATTCTTCTCGAATAATCTTGAATAAAGTCGGGAAGTACGATAAAGTTTAGCTAGTCTAACAGCATATTACAAAGTCTGCTGTGTTCACGTATATTTAGTTATTCCAAAATGACGCATATTGTATTGCCTGACATGATGCTTTTAATGGTAATAGTAAATATTATCACGCGTTTGATGCATCTGATCTGTGAAAGAGAACAAGAGGGGTGTGGCCGAGTGAAAAATTATTAATCTTTATTTTGTGTCTGGTTCTAGAATTCGACCTCCTGATAAACGTATTGGTTTTGCCCATTGGTATTACATTTGGTACATCATGCACACACTCTTATTTCTACTTTGACATCCTTGCCACAACATATTTATGATTGATGCTTGCAAAAGGCATTCATATTACATCTAATTTTTTACGGAACAAGTTATCGTAACGAACATGCCCATTCAAGCCTTTCAAGTTAAATGTCAATGCTACCACCCCTGAATGTTGATAATAATGACAATTTATAAGGTTTTAACTTGCTTCAACGTACAGCAAAAACTTGGCATGATTGCGTGACAATATAATCGCTTGTATTACATTATGTAATCGTTACCGTATGTGAAAATAAAGTGCGACTAGTACACAAAACCGAATTAGTAACTAGCGATATTAATCTCTCGGAGGATTCCAATCATTGGGTATTAATATTAATATTAACCAGAAACACTAATTAACCAGCAGGAGAAAGGTGCAACCGAATGTTCGAGTTTTTAGTTACGCGAATATCTACGTGACAAGCATTACGGAAACCATTCTCCGGAATCAAACCATCGAGTAATCATGTCGATAGCCAACACGTGCATGGCAAGCATCTTTAAATTATCACATTTACTCATTCAAAGCTTGATGCGATAGAAACAGTCCCTCAACTCTGCTACGAATGCGGTTGGTCGAAATTAGATTAGTACGAGAGAAGGGTTGTTGTCAACCCTTTGTAGCGCATTTAGCGCATTTGCGGAAGATACGAGTTTCAAGATGATAACAAGACCATCGTACGAAAGCCTTTAATGCTAAAATTTCCCAGTCACAATTATTATTATGAACAGTTTTTTATATATTTATCGTATTACGACACACAGAGTTGGGAAGTGTGTAACGGGGTCCTGATTAGAAACCACAAATGGATTAATTAAACAGGCTTATCCACAACGTCGGCTTATCAACGAAAAGTGTAGTACTCTGAGAATTGAATGATGCAAATAATATAGTTCCTTTATTCAACGTTCCCTAATATTGTTATTATATTGCTGTAATAATATTCATTATTCAAACTACATTAAAAAGAAAAAAAAAAGTATATATCTACAATACTATTACCATGACATGACATGACAGCTACAGAAACGATCCTATGTTTACAACTCTTGCAATAGTATTATTCCTGCGGTCGTTAAAGAACCGCATCCAAAGTTGTCTCTTCCGCGTATACTGATCCGACATACCAGATAGTCAACTGCTCATTTATGCAAGTATTTCTTGTCAAAAAGACCGTATTAATACCATTTCTGTTTATGATTAGTAGGGCTATCAACCAAACGCGCAAGGTAGTATAGTGGACAACAGCCCGAAAGCGAGTCTTGTGTCGCGAGATTAATGGTATATCCTCACGTAGAAGCTTTCCAGTGATTTTCCTCTTCCAATGTGATCCATCCCCTTCCTAATGTCTGATTCTCTTCTTCGGAAATCACCCATGCTCTCCCCAGCGATTGATTTTCTTCTTCTGGAGTTACCGAATCTTCATTTTTTTGTGTCACTTCGTGGGCCTGTTCTTGTGTCTCTTCTTGATTCTGTTCTTGAACGCTTTCTTCCCATATCTACAGACATTTGTTGAAAAATTTAGCGGAATTACACAAACTATTCTTCAAGTACACATATATCCAAACAATACGGATTAATTACCCCAGTAATATTCTTGCTATCAAACACCGCCAAAGACTCGGCAATATCCAACCAGTTATCGCTGATTTCTTCCGTTTCTTCTTCCTGGGTCCTGTCTTGTCTTTTCACTCGTATCATCATAAGCCTTGCCAAAAACGATAGCCACCTATGGCCTGTTCGTGCCGGTAATATGTTCGTTTTGGGAGTATAATTAGGTTTCAAGAAATATCCCATCAGATCCTTAAAAAGCTCTTTGGGAAGAAGTCCATCATACGGAATGACATGATCGTTAAACTCGGCAGCCGTGAATTGAAAGAATCTAATCAATGGAATACAATCTTCGAGTGTCGTCTTTAAGGCTTCAAAGTGACCTTGCTGCCAATCCTTCATGTCCTCTGGTAAACCCACTGTACGATGCTTTCCCCATGCGACAACTTTTCCCCATGCTTCGACTTCCGTGGTCCCTATGTAATCTTGTTCCAATATATTGACCAAAAGATCCTTGTCCAGTTGCATAAAATCCGCAGCTTTGAACACCACCGTAGGATCATATTTTGCCAGATCGTTGCAGAATGATAATATGGATTTGTAGTTTTTCTGGGATGCTATGTGACGAACGTGAGAAAACTGAGACTTGATCCAGGTTGCTTCATGAATGATCAAATGTTTTTGTAAAGCAGTGTTTACATTGTCCAGCCACAGATACTTAGTAGCATCCAGCAAGTCCAGTAAATTATCTATGTTCGTATCATCTAAAGACATCTTCCCAGTGTACAAATATCTAAAATTATCATATAAAGTAAATACATGCATACATACCCATATACCCATATATATATCGACAACAGCGATAATATGCAGTTATTTCTATGTATAACAGTTACTTGAGAATAGCCTCAAAAGCAGCTGGCGTGATGTTTTCAATGACTATAACAAGAGGTGTTTCGTGCTTTCCTTCATGATAGTTGTGTGATAAGGCCTTCTTGAAGTAATTGGAGCGTGCTTTCAGAATGTTGGCGTGTGCTCTGAACACTTTGGAATTTATCTCCTTGCCCGCCTGAATCGAAATGTCATAGTCATCGGCACTTTCCAGCAAGTCTTCGAAATCTTCAACAAGAGCCGTGGTAAATGCTAAAGACATTGCAGAGTAGAAAATACTGCGACAAGAACCGTGGTAAATTCTAAAACACAATGGTAAATGGGGGTACATCATGTGATCAAACATTATGATTTGAGCAACCAAAAACCGGCTACAGCGAAAACCATGCCTTTGTCTCTCCCAAAGTAGGACACATATCCATTAATGGCGCATTCATTAATGTTAACGTTGTTAACATTAACATTAACACCACAGCCTCATATTTAGACCCTGCCACAAGTGTTTATTGGTAGTATTTCTGTCTTCCTTTTCCACTGATGCTTGAGAGTCCTCTTGATCGACTATCGTAACAGCGCAATGGAGAGTCATGCGAATATGGCTGAACCACCCTTGAAACGCAAGCTTCAAGCTCGCCATTTGACTATGATAACGATTGGCGGAACTATTGGTGTGTGTATATACGTATATGAGAGAGTAATAAAATATATATGATATAGTGCTTTGCATATATTAATATGTAGCCCGTGTGTTAAATACATTCTCTGTTGCGATATTACCTCGTTTCTAGGTACTGGACTTTTTCTTGCATCTGGGGGATCTATTGCGGTTGGCGGGCCCGGAGGTGCATTAGCTGCTTATACTATAATAGGAACAATGGTATACTTTATTATGACATCTCTTGGTGAGATGGCATCGTTTATGCCAATATCTGGATCGTTTAATACATATGCAAAGATGTTTGTTGATCCTGCTTTAGGATTTGCTCTTGGTTGGAATTATTGGGTGAGTTGTTGTGATTATGGCATCACCAAAAGGATTATCACGAGAGAGATGCACACCTTCTTCTTCTTCTTTGGGATTTGGAATACATGCCTAATCTGTACACCATTTGTTATCAAATAGTACTCGTGGGCATTAACAGTAGCAGTCGAAGTATGTGCCGGGGCCATAATAATGCAATATTGGCTTCCACATTTTCCACCAATTGTCTGGTCATTTGTGTTTCTAATTTTTATTACGGGGTTAAACCTGTTCTCCGTCAGAGGATATGCTGAAGCAGAATATTGGTTTGCAATGATAAAGGTAAATGGGATGGACATGAGATTTCACATGGGGGCCTGTACTCTACGACCTACTAATTAATGGAATTTCTTTTTACCAGGTGTTGACTGTCATAGTGTTCATCATCATTGGTGTATTACTCGACGTCGGGTTGATTGGTAACCCACCAGAAAAGGTCCTGGGCAGCGTTTTTAAAAATGGGACGTTTCACAACGGCTTTTCTGGCGTATTTACGGTATTCTTGTTGGCCAGTTTTTCCTTCCAGGGGACGGAACTCGTTGGTATTGCTGCAGGCGAATCAAAGAATCCAGAGAAGGTAAATATTGATCTAGCAGTAAGAGTGCTAGATGTTCGTGAACTAGAATCACGTGATGTAACCCTACTGTGTTGTTCACGGATTAATTCAATATTTTCGCAATTTCAGAACATTCCTAAAGCAATCAAACAAGTGTTTTGGCGTATATTGCTATTCTATGTTTTAGCAATATTGATTATTGGATTATTGATTTCATATGACAACCCTAATCTTTTAAGCAATGAGAATGTTGCAGTGAGTCCGTTTACGCTAGTCTTTTTGAAAGCTGGCTTTTACGGAGCAGCTCATTTTATGAATGCTGTCGTGTTGACTACAGGTATGTTATAACTAGCCAGTTGGTGGCTGTTTTCATTGCTTTGTTTTTATGTGGTTGTGATCACACCCACATTTGCTAACATCATATCTTCGCTCGTTTGCTATAGTTCTCTCTGCGGGCAATTCGGGATTGTATGCGTCGTCAAGAGTTCTTTATAATCTTGCACTGGAAGGACAGGCTCCGCAGTTTTTTGGAAGACTTAATAAGAATGGTATCCCATTAGCAGCTCTCTTTGCGACTGCTGCCTGCAGTTGTGTCGTATTCCTTGCATTAATATTTGACCATAGTATATTATACACTTGGCTTCTTGCTTTGTCAAGCGTGTCTGGAATGATTCAATGGGCTGGGATTAGCTTGACACATTGGCGATTCAGAAGGGCTTATATTGCACAGGTAAATACAAGTCTGTGGAGATCAAGCATATGAGTAGATCACTATTGTGTTTACTATTATTGCAGTTATAATTTTGTTCCTACATAATTACAAAACGGTACACAATGGCCATCCCTCTACTGATTGAAACGCTCTTATTGATGTCTAATCTTCTCTTAAATATCCACAGCAACGATCCCTCGATGTTCTTCCATATCGAGCCAGTTTGTATCCATTTGGCCCTATATTTTCCTTTGTTCTAGTGTGTCTAATCATAGCCGGACAAGGATTTGGTATTTTTTACTCTGAGGGATTGCAGGTAATGGCTATAGTAGCAGCATATACCGGACTTCCTATATTTTTCATATTGTATATTGGATACAAAGTGACTAAAGGGACCAAGTTGGTCCCACTAGCTGAGTGTGACTTTGATCGGGCCTACCAGCATACAAAGATAGACAATGTCGAGTCTGATGACGACAGCATCGATGAGAAGGATGATGACAAAGCAAGACTGTGGACTAAAGCACGTGATGTGTTATTCTAATGCGTTGCATTTGCTCAGTCATCTGGCTTCGTGTAAACAAAACCATCCTCCCACTTTTACTTAGATTGTGCAAACGTTTGTCGATTTTATGTATATAGCTAATAAAAATTACATAATTCCACATGGATCATTTACTCAAATAACGTACAGTGATTATTGAGTATAAATCAGAGACATTTGAAGCTGTTTTATTAAGATAGATTTAACAGTAAATGGTGAAATCTACGAGTCGCTTGTAGTTGCGGAATGACTATCTATTGTTATTTGTTTTTTCACTGCCGCCTATTAGAAATTTATGATTGCCCCAGAGTAATTCAGGCAAGTTCGAAAATCGAACGCGTCAAAAAGTTGAACTGTTAAAAAATCTAACTGTTGAAATGGCAATTTGATCACGGCATTCGTTTTATATTACCATGAACAGTATATTACCATTCGCTGCTAGATGATTTCGAAATAAGTGCGGCCAATCCTCAAGTTGATACTTTTGATGAGATTAATTCTCACTACACTAAACGCGTTTATAAAAAATTAATTAATAATCCTGATGTCATATACCGCTGATACGGAAATGCGTTCTACACTTTTACTAGTGATAGAAAATATTACCAGGCAATGAACAAAATAATTTATTTTATCACGGATTTTTATTAAAATATTCTAATTGCAAGGAATTTGTTAAGCATGCATAATGTAAGGCGAGTTCCCGAGCATTGGAATCCATCAGGGCGGTAAACCCACTCTACGAATTTTCTTTGTATCTTTATACACTCTTGAATCTTTTTACCAATTTCCCTTGCACGTTTGAGTCTTCTGATTGCATTGCATTCCCATAACTCATAAGGATGTGATGCATACTTATTGTCATAATTATATCCAGAATTAGATTTTTGTTTAACTTTTCATAATTTACACCACAGTATTTATTTCCGGTACATGAAAATTTCCAATGTTTCTCCATTCCTATATGGTTATAATTTCCTATATTTTTCTTTCTTTTACTAACTGATCACAAGAGAAACAGATTGCTATTCCAATTTCAGGAGCATATGAACCGCCACCCGGAAATCGTATTAATTGCCTAGCTTCAAGATAATAATAACTTTACTCTGATCCGGGATGCTAGGTATTCAAGTTCATTAACTTTCGGACAAAAAATAACTCACTTTGATTAAATATCTGAGACGTACCTCGAGCTTGTATTTTAACTTATTAATATTCGCCACAATCTCCTCATGGCTATAATCTGGAGGCAACTCCCTCTCTACATTTAATGCCTTGAATGCTTTCAGACCTTTAATGCTAATATAACCACTTAAAATCTATAGCAATTATTTTTCGTCTAAATAGGCAAGCAGTGATACAAAATAGAAACATTGTGTCCAATCATGATTGTGACAAAATCAAAGTTCCTTTTAAGATCTTGCATTTGGATGGTGACGCTTCTAACGGATTTCATTTGAGGAAGTATATTTCTGTGCCTTCCGCGAGATTTCCTGCAACTTAAGATAATAATCCATTACTCGGCTCTATAATGCCAAATATAATGTTAGATCAACGAAAATTCTATATAGTGATTACTAGGACTTGTACCTTAAAGAAATACACTTTTTCTACGATTTCATCTAGCACATATGCCTGATCCTTATTATCCGGAACCGTGAAGTTTGTAAGGATGTCAACAATGTGCAAACCTCCTTTAGAACGATGCATTGTGTAGATTGTTGCCTCACGCTCTAAAATGATAAGGTAAGGTAAAATATGATGAATAATTGAATCGGTAATAAGTACAACACAAACGTTACGTACAGTACACAAATACACCAAAACTTTGAAGGCATTCAAGTTGTTCTTCTGTCGCATTACGTCGTAGGTGGTGCTCTCGTTGGTAAAATATTGATAACTGCATCACTACAAAGATAAAAAGATTTCATGAACTTTACTGCATAAAGACTTTAAGACGTAAATATCTGGCAATTACAAACCCTTAAACAATTTCTCCGCATCTTCACGGCGAGCTGATCTGATGAATCAGATAAGTGAGTCACAGTTCACAAAAAGCATTGATTTAGTAATATGGTCCGGTGCAAAAAAGTTGATACACCAATATGCTTATAGTAGAAAAAAATTTGGGGTTTTGAGGAATGTATCAGTAGAAATTTATTAAAACATGTACACAGACAAAAAGTCTTACTAGTCATCAATCTCTTCAACTTCGATGTCACTTTCGACCAATAATATATCATCGTTTAAATTTTCCTTGGACGCCCTTGCATTCTTTGCTCTGAACGCTCTGAAAATTTTTCATTTTTACCGCTGTTCAACAACCACTCGCGCAAGGGTTGCCTCACCAATTCCAAGGACCGAAGCAACCTCCTTGCGTAGTGGTAAGTCTGGACGTACTGTCGAGTATTTGATAAACGCGAATAATCATTCATTTTTCGTTACTGGTTAAAGAACTTCGCTCTCTAGGTCTTCCATGGGAAAGATAAATGAATCAAGTTTGTTACGAATATTTGAAATTCGACATTTTTATTTGATTTGTATGCTCACATGATTCGATTAGCAAATTTTGTATATGTGACGAATTTCAGGTGACGAATTTCATGTATCAACTTTTTTATATCAGCATTTCGAAAATCCGCAACGGCGCTACACTGCATTAGGAAACAAAATGTTGCGTTTTTTCTGCGACAGCACAAAACGCTATAATTAGTCTATATTTAATTATTCTTCTAGAAATAGTTAAAAGTGCGTTGCGTTTTTTCCGCGACAGCACAAAACGCTATAGTCTATATTTAATTATTCTTCTAAAAATAGTTAAAAGTGCGTTGCGCTTTTTCCGCGACAGCACAAAACGCTATAATTAGTCTATATTTAATTATTTTTCTAGAAATAGTTAAAAGTGCGTTGCGCTTTTTCCGCGACGCTCAAACACATATGTTGTCATGCTACGAATAAAATAAAATATTACTGATCTTAGTAGTATTCTCCCACAGTCCTTTGCTATAAATATACAATTTATTTTCTATCGTCGAAATAATTGATTATTAGGCCGGACACTCCAATAATCGGCTCACTTAAGTTGTAACGGAATAGCATTGATTTGATCAAGCTAGTAAGCTGTCCATGGATCAATTGCGTGAATAACGGAACGAGAGTTCATAGTTAATTATCGAGACAAATATTGTTTAATTAGTTTAGTAAGACAAGTGACGGATAACCGACGTCGGAAAAACAAATCGAAGATAGCCTGTTTAAATTTAAAAATAGTATTATTCCCCTTCGATTCTTTAGTAGAATAATTGTTGTTATTATTTTATTAGAGG